CCACTGGTGAATCTGGGTGGCTCTCATTATATTATTCTTGCAACTTTCCCATAAGTGTGAAAAATTTTAAAGAGCTGGGGAAAAAAGTTAAAGATGACTTTGAAAGAATAGAAAAACTGTCATTTCCAAATAGTGAGAAGAGAGAAATTCCAAAATTTAAAAACAAGCAATAAGACTGTATAATAGAAAATAGCAAGATGATAGCAACTAGAACAAACATCAATTTTCTTGATTATATAAATGAATTTTTCCCTTGTGACAGAGGCTCTCTGATTGCAATAAACAATCTGATTGATGCTAAAAAAAAAAATCCTTTCTAAAAGGATCAACAAAGAAAACAGAGCAGATAGGAATAGTAAATATAATGTTAGACAAAATAGAGTTCAATGTGAAAAATATTAGTTACAAGAAAGAAGGATATTTTATACTGACAAAAATGTACAAACCATAAAAAAATTCATGTTTTTAGAAACCCAAAATATAGCTTTGAAATATATAAAGTAAATGCTAAATGCAGTTCCAAAATCACAGTGGGGGTGTGAAGCAAGTGTTTTAGAAATCTTTTTTAGATTAAATATATAAAAATTAAGTAATGTATAAAAAATATGAACAATCCTATTTTAGTATATGTGCTGCCAAAATATGAACAATCCAATTGGTCTAAGGGATAAGTATGAAGATATGTACAAAATAAACTGAGATACCATAGACTGCTCTCAAAAAATGATATTGTTCTTGACATTTTGTTAGGTCCTAAAAATGCTATTTAAAAATGTGTTAATGGTATTGTGGTTACATTTAAAAATTAGTATTTATCTTTTAGAGACACACTATTTTACGGATAAAATGATGCAGTGACAGGGACTTGCTTCAAAACAACCTGGAAGGGGAAGGGGGGGTTGGTGAGGGGCTACCAGTCAGCCGGGGCCGATCACTGCGGCCCCTGGGTGATGCATACGTGTGTGTTCGTTGGTCAATTTTCTGTTTCTATCCATGTAGGAAGGTTTCCAAAATAAGATGTTTCTAAAAGGAAACTGCCAAGTCTTTAAAATGAATAGCTGTATATCAAGTCTATGGGTTTAGTAAATAAATACCCATTGTGTCATTATTTATAAGAGGAAAAATTAGAAAATAACCTTAATGTATACTAACAGGCGAATGGTCACATGACTTGTGGAACAATCCAACTGTGAAATGCTGTACAGCAATTCCAAAGCTTAATGCACATTTTTATACGGGCGCATGGAAAAGTGTTCGTGACATATTAAGTGAGAAATCAAATAGCAGGTCTCTCTTTCTAGCCGCCCCCAACCCCAGCTCTCACCCCTCAACCCCAATGCTTACACGAGAACATAGCAAAAAGCCAGAAAAGACACAGTCCAAACTGTGAGCCGTGGTCACCTCTGGGGAGAAAAATGGAATTAGCACGAGATGGAGGATGAAGACCTTCTACTTTTTACTTTGTATGCTTCTGGAGTATTTCATTTTTTTCCCCAAGAAGCATATATTTCGAATTTCAAGAAAGGAAACTGTTCATCAAAAAGGAGAAGAAACCCAAATTGAGACTTAGCAATTTCACTTCCACGGTGCAATATCATCCCCTTGCATTCACTCTAAAAAAATTCCTAGTTTATTTTGTGAGAACCAGTGAATACAATTTTGCTATACATGGCTAAGAACATAGTGAGAAACACAGAGTACGAGTTAGGAGAGTCTAACCCCTACCACGCCTGGCCATGATCCTGACATAAAATCTATGATCAGCATTCTATATAATCCTAACACATAACTAACTAGCAACGACTGCCAAGGATTTGTGGATTCTTGTTATAAGTAAGCTTATTAGTATCTGCTCAGATACTGTTATTTTCCAAACTGTGTGGGGAGTCATGTTCATGTTTATCTTCAGCAATGTGGCAGTTTTCTTGTTTTATTGGAGCTCATTTTAAGTAGATCCTAAATTTCCAAAATTCTGAAATCTTAATGATCTAGACTTCAGAAAGATGCTTTTGTGTATATCATCCCTTCATCTTTCAGAATGAGGGTGATATATAGCATCTATTTACAGTGTTTGGCAATTCAGGTTTAACAAGGGTGTTTTCAAACTAAAGTGCTTGGAGCATTTTGTACACCAGCCTTTTCTGTGCATTTCCGATGACTTTGAGTATGGAGGCATCATGGAAGACTGAAACCAGTATCAGTTGAGTAAGAGCTAAAATGGGGACAGGGACCCTCTACTCCAACATTTTCCACTTAAAAGGGGAAAAGGGAGTTGGAAGGACACATTAAGGTCACACAGTGCAGTTCCTGGCAGTAGACACTGGGTTCTCTGACACATATCACAGAGCTCTTCCTACAACAGTTACTTGGTTTTGTGATTTCTTCTGGGTCTGGTTATTGAAGATGTTTCTGGCTCCTAATTCTCAGATCTTTGGAATCATTTCCTTGAAATAAGAAATGACACCTGGGATATAGAATATACTCAATACCGCTGGCTAAATGAATGTACAAATGAATGGAGTTAGAACTCTTTAAATAGAAGCCTGATATTTGGGTTAGAATGAGACAAGGTCCTTTTTATTAGAAAGATAGAGTAGACAAAATATTTTGGTTGGTTCTCCTGAAATCTCTGTAAGACTGGTTATCTAATGCTGTGTTCAATCTGCATCAAATATTTTGTCGGTGCCTGGCACCTGTTTTGTTAAATGCAGAAAGAGGGTAAAATCAGTTGTGATGGTGCTGCCTCAGTTTGGTGGAGGAACTGGTAAAAATATCAGTTAAAGTCCCAATACCTAATACAATTGGGACAACACACAGGATTGGGAGCAAAGCAGTGTAATGATGAACGATGGTAATTTTCAGTGGTTGAGAATGATCTTCATGACATCATACGCTTACATACCATAGCACAGAGAAAGGGTGTCAAAATAATTAAAATGTTTTAGGTTCTCTGAGCATGTTTCTTAATTCATTAAATTCTCACAGCCACCGAAAGGTAGTCATTATTCATCCCACTTGAGAGGTGAGGCTTAGAGAGGTTAGCAGAGGCCCCAGGTTTTAGGACAAGCCCCAGGCAGAGCCTGGCAACTTGCTAATGTCCACCTTCTCTAGAGTTTACGCTCTTTCCAGGGCATATGAAATACCCAAATCCTGAGCCTTGCCATGGGGCTGCGAGCAGTTTTAGACAATGGACACAATGTTTGTCTGCATGAAACATTAATACTTAATAAAAAAGAAGGTGTGACTACTTCTGGACATGGACAAATTGCTCAGGAAACAGGCTGAGGCGGCTTGGGACACAGGCTAGTGTCTAACTGCAGATCTCATGCTCTCCAGGTGGGAAGGTAGGGCGGCGCCTGAGAGGCTCAAGTCCTAACATCTGTGGCTGTTCTCACCAGGCTGAAAGTAGTTCCCATGGTTTAGTTTTTCTGATCATACAAGTAGTAACTTCTTCTGATCAAATTTGATTCATCTTAATAGAACCTGTGTGCCCTGGCTGGTGTGTCTCAGTTGATTAGAGTATTGTCCCACATACCAATAGGCTGTGTGTTTGATTTCCAGTCAGGGCACATACCTAGGTTGTGGGTTCAATCCCTGGTTGGGTTGCTTATAAGAGGCAACTGACTGATGTTTCTCTCTCCCTTCCTCTTTCTCTATAATCAATAAACTTATTTTTAAAAAATTCTTTAAAAAAAAATAAGACCTGTGGACTCTAATTTCAGAAGGTTGAGAGAATACCAAGATCTTGTTTAGAATTTAATTTAGTAAGAAATGTGCAAGTAATGAGATTAAAGGTTAAAGGTTAATTTGTACTCATGTTCAAATGAGCGTTTAAAAATAAACAACAGGGCACTGGCAGTGATAAAAACATCTTTTAAGGCAACGAAGGGGGATTAGGCGGGTAGGATATAGGACCGTGTCCAGATCCCACCTTCCCATTCCTCAGGACCAAGATCATTGGCGAGCTGAAGTTTGGTCAGTTTGATCAGCCACTCTGCCTCTGGGTGACTGCACCTCTCCTCCCTGCACCTGTGAGAACGGAGCTGTGCAGTGCGCTAGGACTCCCATGCCAAGGAGAGGCTGCCACTCACTCATTCCGTTTCCCTACTAACCCTGGTGTGCCCTCCTTTCCCAGGGCTACCTTCCCTATTCACCAGTCAGAAATAACACTGCTGGGACTTCTAATGTACAATATAGGACATGGCCTGGTGCAATTTTTCTACTCCTGGGACTTCCAGCTTCTTATCTCTCTCATCTATTCATCCAGTCATCCATCCAGTAAATGTTTACTGAGCACCAACCAACCTATGGTTCTCTGAGCACCATAGAACATACCACTGTTCTATGTTCAGCACCGTTGGAGGTGCGGGAGTACAGTGTGAACAGAACAGGCTGGGCAGTGCTGTCAAAGACTCTCCGTGTAGCGCTCTCTGTACCTATTGTCTGTCTCCTTTGTTCTCCACCATAAGGTCTTCTCTCCCCAGAGAGAAAATCCTCTCCTAACTCCAAGATTTGGCATAAATAACTTATGCCATCATTTCTGCTATCTCAACTTCTCACTGCCGTCCTAATCCCATCTGGCCAGACATTTCAACACCTTTGCCACAGCTCTCTAGACTGTGGAGTCCTTCCCATCTGTTGTCCCTTTCCTCACATTTCAGTTGCAAGCAGCCTTCTGCTGTGAACCTTCACGAAGTAGTCATGCCAACTCCAGGATTCAGCGATGCATTTTGAGAAGCTAGAAGCTGAGGGGCACTAAAAAAATCCAACCCCCCCGTCCTCCGACAAGAGATAAGTGGTTTGGTCTGAGGAGGCAACAGCAATGGAGGTCCTGCCTGTCCTGTGACTCAGTGTATTTTTAAAATCTGGTTAATGTGTGGTGAATCCATGTCTAAGTGCCAAATTCTCTTCCCCTAGCCTGGGAGTAAACTGCACACAAGAACGGTGTCTGCTCTTTAACCTGCGACCATCCCTGCCCCTGGGGTGGGTAATGGACTCACCTCACTAAGACTGGGATCTTGGGCATCTTCTTAGACACCTTAAAGAAACTTGTGTCTCCTTTGTTGTCAGTGAAGTACACGCCCGCCACGCTGGTCACGAGGTTCCCAGGGAACATGAACAGAACCCTTTCATCTTCGCCCTGGTTGGCCCAATCCCAGGCCTGGCCGCCAATGAGCAAGCCTCCTCCACGTTTCAGGAACTTGACCAGCTTTTCGGTCATGGTCTCGTTGTAGGCGTCAATGCAGTAAACCCCCAGGGAGTCTTTCACTTCTGGCTCAAGCTTCACCTCCACTCCCGAGCCCTCGAGGATTTTGGCCAGAGGCGCCAGGGATGGGTGCACACCCACAGGAGCCCCAGGGGAAGAACAAAGCCACCCCACTGCATTGAGGAGAAAGGGAGTGAGCTGGGCTTCCACCAAGTAGTCCTCGTGGGACACTACCACCAGGCGGCCTCGGCCGTAGGAGGACGCTGCAATAAGGACTTGGCCCATGTCATTCACCATCACTGGGAAGGCGGCCTCTCCAATAAGAAGCAGTTCACATGGGACAGCATCTTCAGGGAGATCCCAGCTGGTCACTCCATTCATAAGGGCCTCAAAAGCAGCTGACGGGGTCGCCATGGCTGGATGGGTGTCTGCAGAGAGGAAAGCAAAGTCTCAGCCTGGTAAAGGGTGGATGGATAAATGAACAAACCGACAGGCCAATCAGTTCATTCTGCCACTAGCGGGTGCAATTCTACCCATTACAGAGATGAGACCAACGGTGTGAACTGATGTCACCAGGGGAGGCAGTGTCCCCAACGGAGGAGACCCCATTGCACTCTGTCCTCTTAAACTCTTGGGGTCAAACTAAAAGAGCTCAATGCTTTTCTGTCACCAAAGGAAGCAAATAGCAGCGAAGAGTGTGTCCCCAAAGAGTAATATTTAAGTATTAAGCCCCAGTACCTGTGAAGGTGACCTTATTTGGAAATAGAGTCTTTGCAGATGTAATTAAGTTAAGATGAGGTCACACTGGATTTGAGGGGACCCTAATCTAACGACTGGTGTCCTCCTAATGAGAGGAAATTTGGACACAGACACAGACAGACAGGGAGAATGGGATGAGAAGATGATACAGGGACTGGAGTGATGCATCTACAAGCCAAGGGATGCCAAGGATTGCTGGCAGACACCAGGAGCTAGGAAGAGGCACAGAACCGATTCTCTTCCAGAACTTCCAGCAAGAACCAGCCTTGCCAACACCTGAACTGGAAAACCCTTAGGCCTCTAGAACTGCAAGAGGGTAACGTTCTGTTGTTTAAGCCACCGCGTTTCTGGTGATTTGTTCTGGCGGCCCCTGGCGCGGCATGTCGCTCCCAGCCCCGCTCCACCCCACGCAGCACCCCCGCTGGCCTCACTTATCCCAGCTTGGGGGAAGCCCAGCCTGAAAAGTGTGCGTCCTCAGGGAAGGTGCGCTGGCCACAGACACAGGTTGGGTAAGAGGAAAGAAGTCCTCTGTGCCTCGAATCCAGGTGCCGGACAGCAGAAGGTAACGACTTATGACATCATGGTAGGTTCTTACTTGCACCAGTCCAGGAGGAGGGGGTGTATCTTGCAGATGTGTTCTCACAAAAACCCTCTGCTTCTTCACTGTGAGCCCCCACCTAAGGTCTGACTTCCACTGAATGCACTTTGCTGAAACAGTTCTCCAAGAGCAGATGTGTTTTCATATTCGGGACAGCCAGGGCTTGTCATCCTCACCACCCACTCCCCTCAGTGGCTCTGGACAATAAATACTGCTGTCCTGGGACCTGGGGCTCTCTTACCACCTCTAACCTTATGATCCAAGCCAACATCATCTGTCACTTCTTGAACCATTTATGTTCTATCCTTCTCGTACCGCTTCTGAAAATGCAGGTATTCCTTACGGTTTTATCTTTGGCCCTTATCTCTTTTCTAGTTCCCTTGTCAGAGAACACTCTTGTTCTCAAGGTAACAAGGCAAAGTGATTACAAGGTAGGTTCTGGAGTTAGACTAGCTGGGTCTGAATCTCAGCCTTGTTGTTACTAACTGCAAAACCAGGCAACTCACCCCACACTTGGCTCCCTCACTTATTAAGTAGGGATGATAGAATCTACCACGTCAGGTGGTCCAGAGGATTAAAGGAAATAACACAGGCTAACTGTCTTTCAATTATTTATTATATCTATGAGTATTCAATTATTTATTATATATGCATATATATAGCAATATGCATGCATATCTACATATATGTGCTTATAATTATTTTGTCAAGTGTAAACTAAGTATGTGCATAATAGAGAATTCTTACAAACATAAAACGTAACCTAATGTTAGCTTTTACACACATTGGATTAAGCATTTACTGATTCTGGTTCATAGTTTTCACAATGTTGGAGCCCAAATTAATAACAGTGAGATTTATATTGAGTTCTCAAGTATTTCCTCGGGCCCCCGAAAAAGCCCTGGCACAGGCATGTGCTTTTCCAGCCACGATGCTAAGGCCCTGATCCTGATGTGGCTGACAAACCCAAGCCCCTACTGAAAGGGCCACTCTTGTGGGAGGCAGTCTCTACAACCAAAGAAGTTTCACATCTATTCTTTTTCCTCCAAAGGAGCCCCTTGTAGGTAAATCACTGAAGCTTGATGTCCTTGGTTATTAATGAGGGTAACCTCTACCTCAGAGAACTACTGAGAAATACAGTCAGCAAACAATTGGTTAATAAGAGCTTGTACCCTCCCTGATCCTCCTGGTGTCCACAAATAACCAGGACAGCAAGCCACACAGAGTCACAGTTGTGTCCCTTCTTCCGCCTGCTCCATATCCTGCCAACGTCCTTGTTCACTGTTTCCAATCACACTGCCTGCCCTTAACCTCATTCAGGTCCTCAATAACTCATTCCTTGACTAAACTGATGCAGTTTCTCGGTCACCTGTATCTGTTGTCACCTCTATTCTTCTAACGCCACCATGGTATTATTCCCAGAAGAGAACCCCCAGACCTCACCTTGGCCCAGAGGGAAAATGGGAGCACTCTGTTGGGGGGTGGGAAGGCAGAGGGAGGCCGCCAGGGCTGGGAGCTCCTTACTTTTCCGGCCTCTTCCAGAACACCTGGCGCCCCTGGATGTGCCCTCCTTTCACTTTAGAGTTTCTTCCCTTTCTTGTCACTTCCTGCTCCCTCCCCCACATCTTTCTATCTATTGAAATCCTGTCCTCCTGAGAGAAGGTATCTACAGAAGAGGAAATTTATATGGCCAATTAGTCTATGAAAATATTCTCAATCTCACTAGTCAGGCAAATGAAAATATAATGTATGTTGCCCAGGTCAAAAAAGAAGGCAGTGAAGATGGAGGAAAGGAAAAAGGTGGAGAAGACAACGAAGCAGACAAAGGCAGCTCATAATGTCCAATGTTCAAAAGGCTTTGGGGACAGCATCATATCTGCTGGAAGGACTAAGAACCTGACAACCATGTGACAGTGGCAACTCAGTTTCAAAGATGTACCTGTTCTTAGACCAGCGACCCCTCTTCTAATAACTCTTCTTAGAAATAAGAGCGGCAGCACTAAAGACATACATACAGGGATGCCCAGTGCCACAAAAACGGCCCTAGAAATGGAGACACATCAATGACAGGGGATGATTTTTGGAAGCCGTCTGACTCCCATGGGTAGAGGATCTCTAACCCAAAGCCACACATCCCGCCCCCATAGCCCACGGTACTTCGACATACGACCCTGGGGCACAGCCCCCCACCAGCCGCCCATGCACGCCCCACGTAGAGCTGCCCTTCACGCCCCTGCTCTCAGGGCCTATGTCGCTGCTGGTGCTGAAATTCCAAAGAACCCCGAGTAGGAAACTCACATTTTTGTCTCCTGGTTGTACTGTGAGCTAGTTCAGGGGAGAAGAAATCTCTATGCAGTGGCAAAGGGATGGGCAGGTATGGCTTGGAGACCTGACTAGCTGGGGACCAGGGAAGAGAGGAGGGTTTTTCCGGATGGGTCTCCTCCTACCTTTCTCCTGGGCCGGCCTGCTGGCCCCAGGTGGGTGGGGTTTGGCTGGGATCGCCCCGGCTCCTTTTTCTCTCTGCCACTTCCCCCCTTTCCTGCACCGTGGGCGAGGCTGCAGGGTCAGTGCTGGTCTGACACCAGTGCCGTGTATGTGTGGCAAGACAACGTTTGAGAGGGAGAATGAGTCAGCTGTGGTAAGCTGCATTATAAAGTGTCGCGTGGCTATTACAAAGGATGAGTTGCATCTACTTTGCATCTACCTAGAAGAATGTCCTACATATATTTTAAGTGAAAACTTCAAATCCGCATACTACATAGGACACAAATCCATTTTTGTATGGATGCAGATAACACCAGTAATTTCAGTAGCAGCCATGACAAAACAGTGCTTACCAGGTTCCTGGCGTTATGGTAAGCGCTTTACATAAATTATTTAATCCTGACAATAAGCCTCTGAGGTACGTATTCTCACTCTCCCCATTTAATAGATGGGCAGAAACACAAAGAAAACAAAAAACCTGGCGGCCAGGGAACTTGTTACTTGCTTAAGTCACACAGGTGGTCGCGGCAGATCCAGCATCCAAACCCAGGAAACCGAGTCCTGGAGTCCACGTGTTAAGTACCAGAAATAGATAAGCCTGACAGATACCCGTTTCTTACATACATAGAAAGCGTATGGGCCATATTTCAACATACTAACATGAGGAAGGGACAAGGCGAACAGTATTCTTCCTCTTTACACAAATCTGCATCCTTTGAATTATTTTCTGTATTACTATTACAATTAAAGATAGCACAGGTAATATAAATTCACTGAGCCAAGTAAACACACATAAAATGATCGAGTATACATGAGTAAAAATGATTATATTGATCAACTGATCCCATCTTACTCATCCTGAAGTGTTTTCCTTCACCTCCCCACAAGTTGTGCATCTGCCTGCCAATAAGTTTGATTTTTCTCCGCTGTGGGTGTTTCCTGTGCTTTGCAGCTGGTTCTGTTCCAACCTGAACCAGTTATGGTAACTCCAACATCGGCTTTTTGAACCAAATGCCTCCTCTCTGTGCCTGAATCCCTTTTTGCCCTCCAAGCTTGGTGAGCTCCGACAGACACAGCCTGGAGAAACCCTTTATTTCTCCCCTTAAGTTCCTCATCTTCAGTTCTACTTCCATGGATCCTGCTTTCTCCACCCCAGACCCACCAATTTCCTGGCACCAAAAGCACCTCTCAAGCCGAAGGTACGGCGGAGACTACTTATCCCCCAGGGAGAGAGCTTTACAAATTCCCTGCCCCTGCCACAAAGCGACCTCACAGCTCCCGGAATTTCCGTTAAGAGATGTAACATGGACGTGAAGGAAGGTAGCGGGCCAGTGTTACTTATTGGACCGCATCCTGCATTATAACTTGATTTCAAATCCTCAGCGCAGGGTGAGTGAGTCCAAGTCCCTTGGGTTTTCTGGGAGAACGAACAGCTACGCTGTGGATGGGTGACTGCATGGTGGCTCTACGGTGTGGGTGGAAGAGGCAACCTCGGATGACTTCTTCAGCGAACAGCTGCCCTGGCCTTGAAAAACGATGCACATGCGCAACAGCCACTTCTGTAAGGCTCCTCTTCATGCCGCTTTCTTCCATGAACGGCTTTTTCATTTTCCTTATGTCCAATGTCTTTTCCAATGTTTACCAACTTTTCTTAAGCCAGAATTAGGGTGGGTCCAGCTTCTTTTGCATTCTGTCTGAAATAGCCCCTGCTCAGTCTTATTTGATTTTCACTTAAAATGACCTAATTCACACATTTCAAAGAGTATGTAGTGCACATGGAAGGATACAGATGGCAAAATAAAACACTTTTTAAAATTAAAGACTCCCATATACCACTATCCAGCTTGAAAAACAGACCATTACTATTATCTTTGAAGGTCTGCTTGTAGCTTTCCGGAATCATTCCCTCCCCTGTTCCCATAAAAGTAAGCACGCTTCAAAACTTTGCTTTTCCGGCCGCCCCATTTTGATCTTACTACCCGCCTCCTTCATTCCTGAGTTCCCAGCGGCTCCATCTTTCTCCCTCTCGTATTTGCTCACTTCTCGCAGCGTGACTCTCAGCAGGACAGCAAAATGGAGGACCACCAGCCCAGGAGTGAGGAGGCCGATTTTGTTTTCTAAAAAATCCTGGTGCTGCCTCTTACGAGGTGTTGACAGGCTGCCTCGGCGGGTGTTCCCTCAAAGGCACACCCCTGGAGGAAGGACGGTCTGCACTCCGAAGGACTGTCACTTCTAAGTTCTGGTGTGGGCTCCCAGTCCCTGCTTTCCTCCGCAGGCCCTCACCCAGGCCCAGAGCCAGTCCACAAAGAGCAAGTGGGTGACGTCAGGGCAGGGGTGGAGGGGGCGTGGGTAGGGGGGCCGCAGGGGAGCGGGGTGGGGGGGGGCCGCGGCGGAAGGCTGCCGTGGGCAGGGATTTCTGCGGGCCTGCTGGCACGGAGGTTTGGGAGGGACCAGAGGCCCGTCTTCCACGCCCTCCAGTTTCCAGGGGAACAGTGCGAGCGGGCCAGGGATCTTGGTCCCAGACAGTGTTTGCAAAGATCAAAGGGCAGTGGGACAGTAGCGATGCTCCGTCGCCAGCCACCTGTGTGACCCTGAGCCAGCCCTGCCTCCTCCCTGGTCCACAGTATTCTCCTCCCTTAAAGCTGCGGATTAGATGCCGTTCTCTAAGTCAAGCCGGTGCCCAACTCGCCGACACAAAGCAGGCAAACGACCATTACAGGCAGGGACCTGGCAGGAGCGCTGCGGCAGGCGAGAGGCAGAGTCCGAGGTCACAGAACAAGCGCCAGCAGCACCGCGACGCAGCGAGGGAGTCTGTCCCGGGTTTGGGCCCCCGCAGTTCCGTCCGCGTCCCCTCAGCCTCCAGCACCGCCCCCCGCCCCGGCCGATCCCCCGCCACCAGCGCTTCTCCAGTCTGCGGGGCATTAGGAGGGGGCCACTCACCTGGTCACCCCGCAGCTTACGAGGGGGCAGCTGGAGAGGCAGGGCTGGGCGCAGAGGGGACGCACAGGCCTGCAGGGAACGGGCTGCCGTGCAAGAAGCGCTCGGGTGACGAGCACGAGCGCGGAGGAGACAGGGCGGAGCGGAGGAGGGGTTCCCGAGCAGTCCCCTCCTTCCCACTTCCTCCGCGCCAGATCGAGCCCGAGGGGCGGCGCTTGGCCAGGGATAGCGCTTCTTTGTGTCGCCGGCCCTGTCAGCTGGCCACTGCGTAGGCGACCCCCCTCCGGATGGCGGTGGGACCGGCCTTTTTTTCAAGACATAAACTTCTCTGACTACTCGCTGATTAAAAAAAAAAGGCTGAACAAACTATAGGTCATAGTCTATGGAATATTATCCAATTTTTGTGGAGAGCTTAGATCTCCATTCAGTTGGAGGAATGTGCTTTAAGTACTGCCCAAGGAAAAATAAAAACTGTAGAAATTGATCACTGTTTTCATTTCTCTAAGAAAAAACAGCCCTGTGTATGTTTGTATTATGGTGGCAGAGGGGAAGGGTACATCTGTCTGTTGATACCGTTTAACCAGAGAAATAGGAGACAGGATTTGTGGTTCTACATTGTTTTGTTTTTTTGTTTTTGCCTTGTTATATGTTACTTCTGTAAATTAATACGTTTCAAACAGACAGCTAAAATTTATTCTTCAGTGTACATTTCAAACCCTATTTCTTTTCCCTTAAGTCCTCTCTCATGATCGGTTGACAGCTGCTCTTCCCTTCTATGAACTGCAAGTTCCTACTTTGTGTGGTGACTTCACCTGTTGAGGTGCTACTTCTAGCCTGAGAAATCCAGCTAGTGTAGTGGTTGAAACCCAGACTGTCACGAGTCGGTCAGGATTCAGATCTAAGGGCTACATTTTATGGGCTGAGTGACTTGGAGCAAGTGATTTAATTCCTTTATGCCTCAAATTTATTACCTGTAAAATAGGGAGGATGAAGTGAGCACTTATATTACAGATTTATTGTAATGCCTAAATTCGGTGAGTGAATACTTGTAACGTTCTGCGATCACTGTCTGGCAGGTAGTAACACTGTATGATTGTTCAAGCAACACAAATCTTCAGGTCGCCCTAAGAATCAGTATGTCATGTTTCCAGAAAATGCTTTTCATCCTGAATATGGTATCGGTCCAAATCAAAGTCGTATTTCCTTTCCCCATCTCCCTTCAACCCCTTTTCCCCAAATTGACTCATATGGACAATAATCAAAAGGGGGATGTGGGTAGGTGAGTGCAGTGGCAGGCTTTGCGTAGAGGAAACACCAAGAAATCAAGAGAACCCGAATTCAGCATCCTGCTCCTTCGAGGACCGCCTGAGTGCCCGAGTAACAGTGAGCGGGTCCTTTATGTTCTCCAGGGCTGAGAGTTCTCAGATAAACAAGGAGGGCTGGCGACTTGCTTGCTAGGTCCCTTTCAGGTCTGACATGCTAAGGCTAATAGCAAGGAAAGGTAGAAACCCAAAATACTGTCTTATTAAAAAAACGTAAATCAAAGCAAAATGCACATATTACTTACATAAAAATAAATAATAAAAAAATATATACACGGGAAGGATACTACCTGACTTACCTCTGAGGAAGGGGGGTGAGATTTGGTGGAGAAAATGTCTTAATTGTCAGGTTTTGTTTCTTAGAAAGGAACACACACACACACACACACACACACACACACACACAAAGAGCTAAAGCAAAGGTGGTAAAATGTCAGCATCTGATACATCTGTACATCCGTTATATTATTTGCTGCATGTATCCGTAGCTTTGAAATATTTCTTCACGAAAATTGTTTCTAAAGGACAGGAATATATTAGACTCCTGATGGATAGGTTCCTGGAGGAGAAGAAACGCAGCACGCAAAAATTGAGGGCCAGGGCGGTAGAAAAAAGCAGAAACCGACGTGGAGAAACCGCAGGCAATCTCTGAAGGACATCTGACTCCCGAGGCGCAGGCGGTCTCAGGCCCCGACCCCCTCCGCAGCCCCGAAGGCGCCCCTGCGCCAGTGCTCCCGGACCGGGCCCGGACCCTCCCGCTCCCACCCGGGACCATTGCACTGGGTCGCTGCGCCCGGGCCTGCTCCGGTTCCAGAAACCATCACTGAGCAAGACTCACCGGTTGTCCAGCAATTTCCACACGGGCTCCTTCGGAGGGGGAAGGACTCCGCTGGGGAGACTTGCCGAGGAAAAGGAACAGACAGCCTGGGGATTTGGAAATTGGTGGCGACGTTGGTAGGAGCCCCGTAGCGGGAAGGTGGTCTGTGGTGCAGAGGGGGGCGAAGAAGGGGCCGTCCTGGGAGCTGATTGGCAGCCGCAGCAGGGGGGGCGGAGTCTGGCCGCCCCCCACTTTCCCGGACAGCAGAGGCCTGGCTTTGTGTCGGTTTCTCCGCGAAATCTAGGATGGATTCACCAGCGCCTGCACAGGGGCGCGGCAGGGCAAGTTGTTGAAAAATCAGTCCTTGAGGCTATTTACCAACAAGGGAGTGAGTGATAAATCATGATAAATCTCTATGTAAACTAATAAACAACTATTTGCAAGAATGAGTTAAATCTTTGTATTTGCCAGAAGTTAGGCTATAATTGTATTTTAAAAAAACATTTAAGGTGGTAGTAAAACGGAGAGCTTGCATTTTTGTACAAAAATTTAAAAAATATTTTATATACTTATGTAAACATACAAATTATATGAAAGACATATCAAACTATTAGAATCAGTACTTCAGACAGGAAAGAGCTTACATTTATGTATTTTTCTTCATATACCTCCTAAAACTTTTAATAGTAGTATTATTTTGTGATAAAAATAGATAAATTTAATCAACTAAAAATAGAAAAATATCCTTGCTCAGACAGCTGGTGGTGATCACTCTATAAATACGATTTCTCCCTCCGTGCGGGTTTCTTGAACTTTGTTCCTGGTCCTGACTCATTTTAATCGAGTACGAGTGGAATCCAGCACCGACATTTGAGCCAGGACCTGGCTTTGTGCCTGACCTGGGGGAAAAACCACTTGTTCCTTTTTATGGTTGGCCCCAAAGCCCTGGACGATGGCTGTGGTCTCTGTACATTCTCTGGTTTCCTCCCCCTCCGCCATCACCGACCCCACCGGCCTCTGCTCTCCCCGCCCCTAATGAGGTATCTATCCCCAGAGGAAACGGGCCCATGAAGAGATCATTAAAAAGCTCTCTCCTGACCACAAACCAGTGTCCAGGCGACCTTGCATGGGAACGTGGATTCAGTGGCAAAGGGGATAGAGTACCACATCCTGTAATTACTTCAGGGTTTCAGTACAATTCTCCAAACTAAGAGTAAGCCTAAGCCAAGAACTGTTTTTGTTTGTTCGTTTTTTTTCTCTCTTTTTTTTTTGGCCTTCTTTCGATTCTTCACTTCAAGTGGCCATAAACAGGTGCTCCTCAATGTCCGCTTGATGGATTGATGGACAAAATAGTTGAATGTGGGCTGAGGAAGGCAAGCCCAGGATCACTCCTCAAAAAAAATAAAAATAAAAAATAAAAAAAAAAAGCCAAGTAGCAACTTGCGGCAGAAAACTGGTTAAATTACAAATTTCCTGTATTGTAAGTTTTCTTCTCTTTGTGCTCTTTTAATTTTCTCCCTTAACCATTTTGTTTTCTTTCTGTATCTCCCCAGATTTCAGCAGGTTTTATCCTTTCTCGGTTTCAGACTTCACATTACTAACTCAGCTTTAAATCCTATATTCTTCCCTATATCTAATTCCCCTAGAGTTTCTGTTTTTCTTTTCAGTCGTCACCCTGAGTAATAGAGATTGCCACGAAATCTTTAAAGTACTGAAGTGACTTGTAAGATATTAAGTTCTATAAATACTCCATAACAGGAATGAATGAACAATTTATTAAAAATCCATACTACAAGACATTTCACGGTTCTCAAAAAGGAGGAGCTCATCATACCTTGAGGAATGTTTTCAATCTGTATTTTCAATGAAAAATTTATGATTCTACTTTTTTATGTTTATGTTTATCCAATAGAAAAAAAAATAAAGCCATATTTGGTGACTTCAGGAAGGGAGGAGAACTGACCAGTAATTTTTCTCTTTAGACATTTTATACTTTTAAATGTTACAAAAGTCATTTTTAAATTAAAAAAATAGGGCTATTCAGTAATACTGCTCTTTGATATATATACCCAATAGAAATGCATACACATGCCACCAAAAGACATGCACTACAACGTTCAAAGCAGCAGCACCCCCATGGTCTGAAACCAGATGCCACCCATGTGTTGCCCTCCCTGCGTTCTCACCTATAGTGCCACCCTGGCACTATCTTCTATTACAAGATTCTTAAAAATTTTATTTTCAGACCAACAAATACTGAGGGGTTATTATCAAAGATCTGCTTTGCAGAACTTCTAAAGGATGTGTCACAAGAAGAAATAAAATAGTCTTTGATAACCTGACATGTGAGACAGAACAGTGAGAGGCTTCCAGTGCTGGCCCTGAGAGAATACCTTGTTTGGAACAACCCTCTCCCTGAACACAGCAGTAAAAAGTTGGATAAAATATAGGAAACAATGGGAAACTCTGAGGAGCCAACAAAACAAGCAGGGCTTGAAAAGCTCCGATCCTGAGGGAAGGCAAATAGGACAGAAGCGCCACACTCCTCATCGCTTTTTCCTTCAGGGCATTTTCCAGTTCCCAGTGCAGGGTAACCGGGGCCAAGCGGAAAGTGTCAGTCTTACAGGCTTCAGATGACCAAACCACAGGAACTTAGAGAGCAGTACTTCAGAGAAGAAGAAATCTCACAAGGGAATCTAAAAATCTACGGACAAATTCCCCTTAAGTCACAGGCTGACAACTCCTCAGCTATGCAGGTACAGTGAGACCCTCCCCCCGCCTCACCTCTGCAAAACCACAGAAAATGGTGGCTAAAACGCTAAAACAATTGAGTGGACATTTCAGGAGCTGCACTGTCCTGAGAATAAGGCCGTGGAAGTCAACTCTCACCAAAGTAAATGTTTCTTATCAACACGCTTTGCTTTCAGTTGAGATACAAGAAATTCCATAGCATATGAATAACAATGATACCTTAGGAGTAAGGACTCTGTTCTTGGATAAAGGAAAAACCTAAAACAGACCAGTCCTAAGAAAGCTTTAAACTAGCCTTTGATAGAATGAAATGAATCTGCTGGTACTTTGTCACCCGCCCCTGAAAAAAATTGTTTGAAAAATAACATCAACCTATAATTTTTCATTCATGATGTGCTGCATCCAATAAAAAATTTAGAGGGAGGCTAAGAATCAGGATAAATTGCCAAGAACTCAGGAAAACAATAGATACTAGAAACAGACTCACAGGTAGTTCAGGCATTTGCATTCTTAGGGACTGGCTTTATAATAACTACGGATATGTTCACTAATAACAGAAACAAAGCTGGAGAATTTCAGTATAGATTTAAAACTCATAAAAGAGTAAAATTAAACTTAAAAAATAATTGGAATCAGGAATTTAATAGTTGGTTTTAATAGCATATTAGACACAAATGACCAGAGAACTGGTGAAGTGTAACAAAGTTTAATAGAAAATATTTAAAAATGACACAGGAAAGAAATGATGATGCACAAAGTGAAGAAAGGATATGTGATACAAAGGCCATTATAGAATATTAAGACATGGTAAAAAGTTATGAATTTGTCTATTAGAATCCCAGAAGGGGAGAGGGAGAATGAAACAGAAGCAAAATATAAATAATTAATGACTGAAAATTCCCTGAAAGAGATGAAACACCTCAAAACTCAAATGGAAAAAACTCTGCATTCCCTAAGTAGAACAAAAATAAAGAAAACTACATGAATGCACATTATAGTCAAACTACTAAAAACCAAATTCAGAGTGGAAATTGAAAATCAGCCAGACATAAAAGATCTTCCCATTCAAAGGAACAATAATACAGGTGGCTTTGCAAAAGAAATGATAGAAACCAAAACACAATGGAATTGCTTTAAAAAAAAAGGTAAAATCTGCCAACCTAAAATTCTAGGCACACCAAAAATGAAGGCAAAATAGACTAATTAATTATAGATAAACAAGCTGAGAGAATTTGTTGGCTATACAGTATAAGAACTATAAAAAGGAGTTCCTTGAGATTAAGGAAAGTTATTCCAGATAGGACCCCATAACTATATGAATAGAGAATACTGGAAAGAGTAAATACATCGGCAAATATGTTAATATTGACTGTTTAAATATACAAATATAATGTCTTATGGGATATAATATCATACAAAAATAAAATAAAATGATAATAACAGCACAGCTGCATGATGAAGATTAATAAAAATATACTGTTTTTAAAGTTATTGCAGTGTTTGAGCCTTACCCTTACCCTGATATGAAGACAGACAAGGGATACTGCAAGAAAATTATAGGCCAACATCTGCGATGAACATAGATGTAAAAATCCTCAACAAATATTACCAAACTGAATTGAACAGTATATTAAAGGACTATAGATCATGACCAAGTGGGATTTATTCCAGAAATGCCAGGGAGGTTCAACAGCTGCAAATCAACAAATGTGCTCTACCCCATAAACAAAATGAAGGATAAAATCATATAATCATCTCAGTAGATACAGAAAAAGAATTGGAATATATACATCTTTTTATGACAAAAATTCCCAACAAATTGGGTACATAAGAAATTACCTTAATATAATAAAGGCCATATATTACAAGCAAACAGTTGACATCATACTCAAAGGTGAAAACCTGAAAGATCAGGGACAAGACAAAAGGCCCACTCTCACCACTTCTTTTCAGCATTGTACTAGATGTTCTACCCACAGCAATTAGGCAAGAAAAAAAAATAAAAGACATCCAAGTAGAAAGGAAGAAGTTAAATTGCCTCTGCAGATGACATCATCTTCTATACTGAAAACTCTAAAGACTCCATCAAAAAACCTATAAGGACTAATAAACAAACTCAATATGGTTTTGGAATAAAAAATTAACATAAAATATCAGCTGGGTTTCCTTACACTAACAACAAAGTATTTAAAAGGAAAATTAAGATTACAATCCTATTTATAATGGAATCAAGTACAATAAAATACTTAGAAACCAATTTAACCAAGGAGGTAAAAGATATGTGCAATGAAAACTATAAAACACTGATGAAAGAAATTGAAGACACAAATAAAGTAAAAAATATTCTGTGTTCATGAATTAGTTTAATTAATAATGTTAAAATGCCTATACTACCAAAAACTAACTACACATTAAATGCAAACCCTATCAAAAGTCCAATGGCATTTTCCACAGAAATAGGAAAAGAAAAACCCAGAAATTCATATGGAAACACAAAAAAGAACT